AGGTTGGGGACAATCCAATTATCAGTGCCGGTCCACCCTGCCGCATCTTGCATAGCGTCAGGCGAAGAGCGGGGGCAGACCATGTTGCCAGTGACGAGATCGGCCTCGCCCAACAATCCAGACAAAAGAAGAGTTTTACCGGAGCCTACGCCGCATCAGCAACAATTCGGTCACGTTCAAAGGGTCCACACACCAAGTCTACCGCAGATCAATGTCAATTTGCCATTGGGAAACTGCAGGTTGAGATCCGCCAGAGTGAAGGCATCCTTGGGCGTGAGGGCTGCCGAGTGAGGCGGTGGAGTATCGGGCTCGGCTGACGCCGCAAAATCATCCTGAGGCCAAGTGAAAGTGGCCGAGGACAGAATGATGTCGCCCTGACCGTCATTGTCCTGAGGAGTGGGAACTTCGGCTAGGGACAGATACTTCTCGATTCGGCGACAGGAAACGAAACCTTGAAGGGCTTGAATGAACGTTTCAGGGATGGCGTTGAGGGCGTATCTGCACTCTAGGATCAGCAAGTAATCGCGACTAGGAATACAAGACATACCGGAGTTCAGCAAATACTGCAACCGAGGTGAATGCAACCGAAGGTGTAAGAGTTTGGCCCCGCACAAGAGTGTAATGCTGGAATGGTGATTAGGGGGGACACTTATACTGCAAGTCGGGGGCTCACCAAGAAAGACACCACAGTCACCATGACAGGAGTCAATGCCCAGATGCCTGAGAAGCCCTAGGGTCAGCTGCGCTGATTGTACAAGGAGTTTGACGAGACATACAATTGAATGCGACTTCGATTTGATAATTTCTGGCTTGCCAAGAAAGCTCGTTGGTTCGAATAGACTGTACACGAGTTTCGAAAGATCGTTCCCAAGCCATAAACCTATCCTTGCCGTCAGTATATATAAAGTCATTAATATGATGCGACTGACTTGAGCATGCGTATACCTTGTAGAATCTCATTCATGAGAGCTGTCCGCTGGTCCCGGTTCTTCATCAAATTTTCTTGCGCCCGCACGACAATTTTGGAAGCAAAGTGGTTGAGGGGCAGGGATACTGTGAGGCGTCAGCGAGTATGATGGTACCAGCAATGATTTATTTACAAACGGCAGTCAAAAGACCGTACATGGCGGAAATGCCAAGCAATTTGAAAACAAAGATACTCGCCCTATTTCGTGATGAGCCTTTAGTACTGTAGCTTGTGGCAGCTTACACAACGATCTCAAGAGGAGCATCGATGACGGCGAACAAATGAAACACAAATTCGGTGACCCTGTCCACGTCGATCGTGAATAATGACATGATCTGTGTCTTTGAGCTGACCCCTTCTTCATCTTCGTCCCCGTCTTCTTTTTCGCCTTGAGCGCTCCTTTGCTTGTCTTTGGCAGCCTCATCCGCGACACCTCCGACTTGATCCTTGTTACTGCCCTTTCCGGCGATATCCTTTTTCAACAAGGTTTTCTTGAAGAGCATAGTATTGAGCTGCAACCTGATTTTTCCCTGGAGATAGGTGGTACAGATGGACCAGGTCACACCAGAAGCGATAAAGATCAGGGCGTTGGAGGTGAAGAGGCCGAAACAGAGGAGCCACCCCCAAGCCGGTTCAGAGCGGGTTGGATCGTTCTCCAAGAAATTGATAAAGAGCTTGAGGAGGTAGTGGGGGAGGTAATAGCCAAAAGCGGTTGCCGTGGCCAAGACAGTTTCTGAGAAAGCGGGTTAATTGTTGATCTGTTAAGGTTGACGGAATGTACTCACGAGCGACGAGAAGACCGATATTAACTTTGGCGAGAACAAGGAGCAAGTTGAACCCTTCCATTCTCCCGAGACGTTCTTTGCGGTGGCCGTATGCTTTTTTCATTCGCTGGAATTGAACAAGGGCACCTGAGAAAATGGTCAATACATGATTCCATGACAAGGAATGGACTTGCGCAAAGTGGCGGGCAGTATAGGAAGATCCCAGACGTCCATGCTCTCGGCGACGTATCCTTTGCGGATGACACCAGTGGCATAGCCAAACAGCAGCCACTCGGGAACATTCGCCTGCACTTCTGGACTGACGTTGGCTTGCGTGGGGTCCAATGCCGAGGCGTCTTCCGGCACTGAGGCGATGATCTTGGATGGGTAGATGGCGTCGAGCGGCAGATAGAGAGGGGGGCCTCGTCGGACGGAAAGGATGGCTACCAGCGAAGGCAAGTAGAGAATGGGCAGAAGAGTCTTGAGCAGCCCGACAGGCGATTCGGTAATACTAAAGGCGAGAGCGTTGAATGCCGTGGGCACTACCGGGTCCGAAGGGAGTGGAGACGAGGGCAAAAGACTGAGGAATGCGAGGACCAAGAATTGGGTGGAGATGTCGACAGCCAGATGGATGGTCGTCGCCCAGTGAGAAGCCACATCACGCTGCGCCAGATGCCAATAACTGAGGAGCAGAGTGATGACCTGGGACGCAAGAAGCAGCACGGAAAGGGCGATACTCCTTTGTCGGCTCTCGTCATCATGTGCGTCGGAGACGATGCTGAATGCGAGGAGGCAAATGTTGCAGGCGAGGGGGAGGAGGTAGAGCACGAGAACGGCGAGCTTGCGCCTCCACATGGCTGCCCAGAAGCGCTCTGGCTCGACTGGGGTGCCGTCTTCACATACTGTGGGGTTGTGGATGTCAAAGGGGTCCTTTTGGTCGAGGAGGCCGTCGAGGGCTTCGCCGTTGTGGACGGGAAGGGCGATGGGCTGGGGGGCGAAGAGAGTGGTGATGGGCGAGGCAGGATTGGTGGCGAGGTAGATGGTGAGGGAGGCGAGGGTGGTGAGGGGGATGGCAGCGGTGGCGGCGAGAGTGAGGAGGGCGTGGTACATGGCACAGCGAGTGCACGGGGAGTATGCTCACTCAGACTTATTAGTATGACGCACGATATTTATAACTGAACGCAAAATGTCAGTCGGCCATGTCCGGCGGTGGAGGCAAAACGCGTTTTCTTTTCTTTTTTTGTCCTTCTGACCTTTTTCATCCGTTGTTCTCCCAGAACGACGATGGATTACCTATAGACCACGTGTCATATGTACACTTGAAACGCCCACAACACGGGTAGTTACCGAAAACATGCTGCCCAACCCGATGAGATACCCTGCTCAGTCGATATCAGGTGGTGGGGAATCATGCCGCCTTCCTTCGGAGTTGTGCAGTTGTTGGACACATAATGATGACACCATTGAATCAGACTACTACGACCAATGGCTTTCATGGGTGATCGCCTCGTCAAACGCTTGTACGACGATCAATTCCCTGCTCCAAGTGATATACAGACTACTGTCGAATCATCCGGTCGATATATATAACGACAGGAAGGGAGCCAGATTCGGCAGCTGCCTTCATTCGGTAGACCGGTGTCATGCAGAGCTAACCTTGGTTGATCTTGAGCGCTGAAAAAGCACTACTTGCAAAGAGCAGATGCCAGGCGTACGAGTCAGTCCGCCTTGGAATGGTGCAAAGATAAGATAACAAGGAATTTTGATCCCGTCTACTCCGTCCTACTGTACTCCACCTCCGTCACTCATTGATTGGTCATTGACGTTGTTGTCACCGACATCATCTGCGCTTCATCTGAGCTTTCATATATTCCACACCTGTACCGAATCCCTTCTCGCACGCCCCCTGCCCCATCCTCTACCTCCAATCTATCCGGCACTTGGCGGCCGCTTCGCTCTCCGCCGAAAGTACAAGCACATAAACTCCTTCGACATCTTGCGGCGCCCCGCCTTCTCTATCACCAACCTGTGCGTCTTCCTCCCTCGACTGGTCTAAGAGCACTCCTCACCCCATTTTGCTACCTTCGTACCTTGGAGCTTCTCCCCGCCGCCATACTTTCTTCTCATCGCTGACGCTCCCTCTTGAGATCACAGTCGATGCCTCTCGGCTTCCACATCCTCCTCCCTCTCTCTACTCGGCTCTCATTCTCTGTATTTCACAATGTTTTCATCGGCAGTAGGGCCTCAACTATACCAGACAGAGGATGAAGTGGTGGCATGCCGTCGATGGATAAGATGACCGCCGATGGATGTGATGTTGCTGGCTGGCAGAGGTGGTTGTGCCAGTAAGAGCGCGTTCCGTGGAGACTAGATTCGACTTCGGACTTCGTAGCGAGAAAGATGGACGTGCTCGAATGACAGGATGACAGCCGGTCCGATTTGGCAAAGCTTGGACGACTTTTGGGTGAATCGTTTGCGCTCCGCGGCACTCTGAATGTCCAGTCGTGGTATTGTGCTGAGTGCCCCGTAGCTCTTCGCATCGAGACTGTTGAGCGTAGCAGCACCTATCACAAAGACGCTTGATCTATGTACGTCTCGTCTCAGCGCTACCGCGACCACTCTTGCTGAGATTCTTGCCACAGCTTCCCTGTCAACTCCTCGTCCCCATTGCCTTTCCTCGAGCTGATCTGCGAATTCCAATGCTCCTGCTGTATGCAAAGAGAGGGCAGTTGGAGAGCGAGCCAGTGAAGTAGCTTCTCAAGCTTGCCTTCTTTTCCGCGAACTCCCCGATTTTCTAGTCAACGAATCTCCAGCCTCCTCCTGCTCTCTCCAACCCTTATTCCTCCAGCAGTTATATCTCCTCTCACCACCAGATCGCTCTGAAGATCACTTGGAGGCAAGACCTCTCACTGAGGATGTGTTGTTCGATGCGCAGGAGAGTAGCAGTCTTTGTCAAGAGTTTGAGGGTTGTAAGAGAGAACATCTATATTGTTGAGACACGCTAGGTTGGATAGTTCGAGGCTGCTTATTCCCGTAACGCAGTTAGGGTCTTATCAGCTGTTTTCTCCCACCCAGAAAAAGCGTAGGGGGCGGAATCAAACGCACGTTGCGTTCAGTATCAATCATTGCCCTTTTTCACACGTCACGTTCCTGCTCGGCCGCCGTCACTCTTCTCTGCTCGCTGCTGCCCCTTCAAGTTGTTGGCCCCTTGCTCCCTGCTTGTCATCTTCATCTGCACTGCTCTGCCTGTTCCGCCACACCTCCCCATCATGCCCTTCCCCTTCCATCCCGAAGCCTTCGCTCTTCTCATCGCCACCTTGGCAGAGGACCCTCCCGCCTTCCGATCTCTCAAGGACTTCGCCGCTTGCCACCGTTTCCCCCCTCTCCCCGTATTGAACACCTCGACTTACAAAGGCCCCAGAGGTGCCCACGCCTTTCAGCATTTGGCTGCAGGTCACACGTGCACTCCTGAATGCCACGTTGATCGACGTCAGTTTCAGGCTGCGAACTTAGACTCCACCCGCTGGTTTCCAGACAACCTGCCTCCTATGAATCCTGTTTATCCTGCTCCTCCTGTACAAAATCCTGCTGTACAAAATCCTGCTGTCCTGAATCGTCCTGTTGTCCTGAACTCTGGCCTGAACGTTAACTCTTCTAGCTGTCGTCAGTCGAACGGCAATCCCTCTCAAGCGGCTCCTGGTCCTGTCCGTAGCCTCTATTCCCCTGTGTTTATGAATTGACGACAGTGACTGACATCAGGCCAACAGTCACGACCTAGTAGCACTCCCGACCGCTCTCCGGGACACCCGAATCCTCCGCTGTCTTCTGGTCCAAATCCTCGAAAACGACGACACCACATGCTTGATGATTCTCAAGACCATCATCGTCCACATAGAAGGGTGAGTGCTATATCATTTGTGCCTTCTGTCGTCCTTATTGAAATGTGTGTCCTAGAACCGGCGCAATCAGGAGATACAGGTTCGCCTTCAGTCTTCCCCCTCTTTCCATCGCTGACGGTTTGACCTCCAGTATGATGAAGAAGGGGACCGTGCGGGTGTTATGGGCAGTGGGGGCGGCGATGAAGAGGAAGAGGATGAAGCCCACGGGCAGCCATATTTCCTTCAACCGAGGGATGTTCTTCAGGAGCCTCGCATCGTGAGTGCCACCTACTTCCCGTCTCATAGATTTGCCCCTTCACTCACTGATCCTCTTGAAAGTGTCTCCACAATTTCGATCATGCCCAATGGCCTCAGCAGTCATCTCTCGACCACATCATCGACAAAATCAATTCATATCGAAACGCCACTTCGGTTGATGAGCTGGGTCAAGTCGTTTGTGCTGATTGCTCAGAGCAGTGCTCGAGGGCGGATACACAAGAAATCTTCGTGCCGAGCCTGAGGGCCCACCTCCTTCAAGACGCGTGGCAATGCTCGTCACCCTTCATCCCTTCCCATGTCCTGTACTCCTCTGCTATCATCGACAACTATGTCCGCTCTGGCAGCTATCAAGGGGGGTGCTCAGTTGCTGGCGTATCTGGGAAGCGTCAGATGACTGAGAAGGAGCCGTGGCAGGGGGGACATATCCAGCACCTTCGGCTTCGGTGGAAGCGGAGGCAACAGAATTGAAGCAAGGCATTGGCAGTTGTCCGTCCTCGGGGTAGGTAGTCAACGCATTACCATCAATGGAGACATCACTATAGAGAGGGTTGTCCTCTTTCAACCACCGCAGAGCGGCAATCATTTTGTCCCGGCGGACGGTGAGTAGCTTCTTGGGGATCTTGTCAGTAGTGAGAGGCTCTGCTTGGTTGGCAACCCAGATGACAATGATCTCGTTAGCGATTACAGAAGCTGGAAGAGGGAGCAACCTCGACAGCTCGGACGCAGCCTGGGGGAGTATGACAATGTTGCCTTTCGACTGATGAGAGCCGTGACCTTTGATCTTGACACAGCAGCGACCATTTTGCCTTCTCCGGCAGGGCTATCTTATGGACAGAGGCGGCAAGTGTGCGGGTCTGGAGTACCATAATCGTCCCCGGCAGGATATGTTCCTCTATTCTTCATGCATCTCGTCCCAGTCCGGTCCTGACGATGCTGTATACCAGGTCTCCGACGGTGACTCTGTCCTGTCGCAAACTCAGTCGTCAACCGACTCCTCCCCAGCCAAACAGCCCAGCTCCTCGCCTGCGAAGAGGCCTCGCCAGGCGGCCCTTTCTTCTGGCGGGGGTCCTAAGCCGTCGAGGAAGAGCGGCCGCTCCAGGAAGGGGAAAGAGAAGGAGGATGGGGATTTTGAAGCATAGATGCTTATAGAGTCGAATGATAAAAAGTTAAGCTGCATACCATGGATCTGCCATCTTGGCTTTACTTTCCTGCGTTACGGGTCCCGCCGCTCGTCGGCCAACACCCTGACATAGTATAGGAGGGATGTGATATTGGATGTAAAGTACGAGTATGTATGTCACATTTCACAAGAGGAGCAAATAGTCACGTGGCGGCGGTGTGGGGCGCCATGACGCGTTACGGGTATATAAGAAGCAGAGCAGCAGCGCATCCACGCATACGGCACCATCATGTCTCTCCCCAAAGCTATTTTGTACAGCTGGCCTTCCTCGGTCTGGAGCACTGGTACGTAAGCAGATCCCGGGCACCGCTCACCTCTCCTGCTCAGTCCCCAGGCTCTGCCTCATCGAGAAGGGCTACGCAGAGGACGAGTACGTCGTCAAGTATGTCAACATCTGTCAGTCGTCCCCTGCCCCCTTTCCCCGCTGACACACCCCAGCCAAGGGCGAGGCAAGTACCCTCCAGTCCACACCACCCCGCACTGACACACAGCCCGCCCCAGAACTTTAGCTCGTCGTATCTCAAGTGAGCAGCCGCACAGGCGCAGAAGGTCCGGCTGACAGCTTCGCCACTAGAATCAACATGAACGGTAGGAGGTACTTTGCAGGTCCAGATCGCAGTCTCTGATACATACCTTGCAGGCACCATTCCCACACTCGTCGTGCCGACCCTCGAGACCACAGGCGACGACGTGGATACCCGATACCGATCCTTACGTGACACTGTTGTCGGTCTTTTCGTGTTCGCCCTTGCGCTGGCGTATATGCTGATTGCTCTCCTAGAGCATCTGTGACTTTCTCGACCAGGCTCGCGGCGCCAACACTTCTCAGACCTCGTCCGAGAGGCCCGCCCCTGCTTTGGCTCCGGCCACGATCGAAGGCACGTTGCACCGTGATCCTCAAAAGTCTCTCTCTGATCTTTATTTAGCCAAGACGTTGTCCGACCAGGTAATCGAGCTCATACACCTCCCGGCCGTTGACCCCAACTTTATCGCCATTTCCGCCGTCAACGAAGCCGAACTCAAGGAAAAGGCCTCGGATGGTCCCGGCAAAGCTCTGTCTGCCCGTAAAGACGCCCTCACAAAGTACCTTGCCGAGGCCCGCCAAGTCGTCGCTGGCTCTACCGTCGCGCCCAAGGAAGGCTCGACCACCTTTGACCAGCGGATCGTTCAGTTTCTGGAGGAAAAGCTCAGGACAAACGAAGAAGTTTGGAAAATCTACCATGGCGAGTCTGCGTCAGAGACACTTGACCTATTTTACGAGGTTTCCCAGAAGGCTTGGAAGGAGAGGTTGCCCGAGGCTTTCAGCCAACTGGAGAACTTGATCAAGGGCCCCTATGTTCTTGGTGACCACTTGGTATGTCTTTTCACACTGAACGCCTCGTACTGACACGGCCCTCCAGTCTCTTGCCGACCTCCACGCAGTCTCATGGATGACTCGAATCGTGTCCATCGCCGGCGGCTTGCCAGATGCTAATGGTTTGGATTCTATCGAGAGAAAGACAGGCGCGAATCTGGGCGAAAAGACTAAAAAGTTTTGGGAATTGTGGATTGAGAGAGAGAGCTTCAAGCAGGTTCTTGTGCCTGCGAGCTCGGCTTTCCAGGAAATGAAGTAGAGGCCAAAAGCAAGGCCTCGGTGTAAGATACACGTTGTGAAATCAATTCAAATTCACCCTGCTACGGGTCAGAAAACACGCAAAATCATGCTTGTGGTGTATATTTTACATGTATAACATGGCTATCAACTCCCACCCCCCGGCATAACTCGGCGTCTATGTTCTGCAATCGTATCGACTTGCTCATATGCCTTCACACCCTGCCCCCATCTCCCAGCACCTTTGCCCCACTCGTCCGCCACCCCCCACACATGTTGTTCTTTGATCACTGGCGGCAAAGCGTCGGCTTGTTTCTTGATGCGGATCTTGAAGAGTAAGGGATCCGAAGAAGGCCGCTCGTCTTGCTTGGAGACGCTGGCTTCATGCCGCTTCTGCGTGTCGGCAAAAAGCGGTCTCTGTTGGGGACCGGAACGATCCACATCCCCTTGCCAGAGTGTCCCGGAGAGAGGGCGCCAAGCTTCAGATGCGTAAGCTGCAGATGACGTGGTCATTTCTATCAGCCTGGATACTGCCCTCTTCTGTCGCCATCATCAGTAATCTGTGATCCTCAACAATTATAAGCTCACATAGGCAAACTTTTCATCCTCTCCCGTCCAGATGCCAAGCACACTGAACGAGGATCCCTTCTTCTTTGCCTCTGTGTTCTCTCGATTTTGCTGGGACGATGTGAGGTTGTTGTAGTAGCTGACATTCGGCCTGTACGGAACTTGCAAGGTAGCGGACAGGGCTTCAGCGCTCATCATGCGCTCGTTGGTAAGGGCTTCTTGTTCCTCTGATGAAAGTGCAAGAGCGTCGGGGAAGAACAAGTCGAAGGGGCTGGCCGGCGTTCGCAGATGCAGCTGACAGCGGGATTCGTCTACGAATCAAGTAAGAGAGGGCGCCCAGTCAAGATCCAAGGGACATACAAAGAGCATCGATGAGGTTGATGAATCGCCTGGCTTCGTTCTTGTGCCGCAGATAGAGCGTTGGAACATCGTCAATGAAGAATGTCCCGAAAGTCGACACCAGTGCGAGATAGTCTGCTGGGCCGAGAGCCTAGGTATGTGTGTCAGCTTTCTCGTGATTTTGGCTGAATTTCATACCTCTTCGCACAACTCTGCGAAAGTGAAGCGGCATGCAGAGTCGGAAGCCTTGGCAACTTTGAGTGGTCTCCCATAGACAGTGATGGTTCTCGATTCCACTGTACCGGATCAGATAGCGCAAGAGGTACCACATCAATGACACGTACCTTTGCATCCCGATGTTGCCTCCTTCCAGGCCCCCTCAAAGCCAGCGTCGGCGTTCTTATACCACCTCGTCCGATCACCTTTCACATCATTTAGACGCCAGTCCCTTCCGCCGTCTACCTGCACAACTTCACACCTCGCTTTCAAGGCGTCCAAAAAGCCCGAAAGACGCTCTCGTTGCACACCATGGTGATACAGATCCTCGGGCACTCTGTTGGAGCAAGTCAAAATGACACCTCCAAGTCGCCAGTACCACGAAAGGACGTCTCTGATGAGAGCAGCTGCGGTGGCATCGATCAACTGAAACTCGTCAAAACTTTTGCAAATCAGTAGTGCCATGTCGTAAGAGCGAACGGCAACGCACTAGAGCACAGAGTATCGTAGAATCATTTTTCTGGCGACTAGAAAATATCAGTGCTTGCAATCAAACAGCACACTCACTATTAAACGTCATCCCCTCTTCCTTTGTCCACATAACCCGCTCTCCACCCTGTTCATCCCATCTCCCGCCAGCGAACACTGATTTCCAGCCTTTGCGGCCCGCCATTTCCTTGTTCTTCATCACTTTCTCGTACTCTTCTTCTTCAAATGAACGATTGCGAGATATCTCTTCAAAGACTTGCTTGTAGAGCTCGAGAGTAAAGGCATGGTAATGTACTCGACATTTCGAGATGGGTAAGAGATCATAGAAAAGGGAGAGAAGAAGCGATTTGCCGGTCCCAGGTGGTCCTACGAGGCAAAATCCCTGATGTGCTGTTAGCTATGTGGTCGATCGTAACCACAACTCACCCTTGGGGTTGTGAGATTTGCCAGCTCTTCCTCGCCGCTCAGTACTCTGACTAATCCCTTTTCATCTTCACTGTTGGTATCGATCCCGAGTCCACTAGGCGATTTATCCCGCAGGTTCCACCAAAAGGGACGTGGTTTCTGCTGCTGCGCTATGAAGGGAGCCACTGGAGATAGTTTTGCAAGTAGCTCGAGAGGAGGAGAGTAAGAGCCAAGAGTCTTCAGGAGGTGCCGCAGCTGAACAGATGAGACAAATGTCGTCAGCATACAGAGCGCCGACATGTATCAATGCGCCCACTTTCATGATGCAGCGGACCTGCTCGTCATCCCATTTTAGGCGTCCGTCTGCGACCAGCTGGCGGTAGAGATCGAGGAGATCCTTGGAGGAGTGTGGAGATGGAGCGTCAGAGGTAAACCGGCGGGCGCAGCGGGGGACAGGGGACAATCGGAGGGGACGCGGGAGGGTGTAGCGCGTTGGCGATGTTACTTTGAGCATTGCGGGGACTCGGAGCAGGGTTGTGCTGGACACTGCGATAGAAAAGATGGGACGATTCCCAATAAAGCTGCTGCATCTAATCTGATTAGACGCCTCGTTCCTGGTTCCTAAATCCACTGCACGTCCATGGCAGTCTGCAGTCCTGCAAGTGCAGAGTCATGGCTCACCCCAACCCAAATTTGGAAATTGGAAGCAAAATCTTCCTCAACAAAGTGTTTTCGGGAAAATACTCTACAGGGTGTGCATAGTTGATAATGTAAGGTCCCAAATGCAGAGATGATGAAATACGGCAAGACGGCTATATTATGCAGCTACCAGCTTCTTGGAAATCATGACACAAAGATCGTTATCGTTATCTCAGCCCCGAGTCCACGTTCCTCTGCTCTGCGCTGCGTTCGACATTATAGCGCAATTCCTCCTGATATAGCTCAGAGCTCTCCCCGTCTAGCCTCGCATCGCTTTGATAAATTCAAAGAAGGTCTTTTTGAAATCCTTGGCCTGTTGGGTTGTCAAACTCGTGACCAACTGCCTCGCAATCTCGGGGGGACACTGAAGTCTAGGCAAGAGGTCGTTCAGGATAAAGTCCACTGCTTCTTGGCCTCGAGCCTGAACAGTGTTTCGCACAAGGACTGCTGCCTCATGTACGATCTGCGACATGTCAGCATTGAAAGTTCCGAATGTAGCGTACTCACAAGTTGTCCACCCCGTATATTGAATTCGCTGTTTGCAGGCACCTCAAAGCAAGCGGGCAAGAGTCTTTGGTAGATGAAATTCTCATAGCCAGGAAGGCACTGTTTAGCCCTCTGCTCCAATGAAATGGCATGAGTGCTGGGCTGCGCAGTCCCGTTCGATACCATTTTGCTCTGAGTAGGCTGAGCGGTCTCGGCAAAAACAGAGGGTTTGGCGGCCGCTTCCGCACTAGTCCCCCAAGCGATCACGCTCCTTGAGAAGAAACCGAGCGCTAGTCTTTGAGCAGTGCCATCCGCATAGTCCTGCACCAGATTATAGAGAGCGGTAAGGACACTCTCAAACTCTGGCTTGTTGCTATCGGTGATGAAGATGCCGTCAAGGTTCTCGTTCATCAAAGTCGTAAAGAAGGAAAGGTAGGCGTCCTTCAGACGAGTATGGACCTGCGCCTCATCTGTACCAGTCACAGGCTGCCCGAGAACGGCAAAGATTCGAGAGAGAAGGGGCAAGAGCAGCATGTCCATGGTCTCGAAAGAGCTTCCCTGTAACAAGGTATCAACAATCATACAATCACAAACTCGAGTCAACTTACCTGAAGTCGGTGCATCAAAAGCTGCAAGAACAGCAAAAAGTCGACCAATTCGGAAGGCTCAAATTCGGTGACCACTGCTGACACAAAGCGTGGCACCAATTTGGCCACGGGGGTACCGATGGCATTTGCGAATTGAGAGAAGGCGAAGCGTGCCGCATCTCTGACAACCCTCCTGCCTTTCAACTTTTCAATGGCCTGCAGCAGAGCCTCGGCCATCTGCATGAAGGGAACAGAGTACGGCAGCGATTCCACTTGGTTGTCGGGTACTATCGGGAAGCCCTTTGCGAAATGTCCCAAGGCTACTAAGTGGTGGTGCACTTGCAGAACAGCCTGCAGGTCGGTCGGCTCAGCCTGGGCTCTTTCTACTGCCGACGCCAAACCGGTGATCAGGGGTCCAGCGACAGCTTGGAGAAGCGACATTTGTTTGGCAGGGTCGGTCTTGGTGGCAAAGATGAGATTGCCGGATGCCTCAAAGAGATAGAGTTGGTCCGCCACGTATGTCTTGCCGGTGGTAGCCTTGAGCAAGGGATCGTCTTCCGGTCCATCGATAGGAGGTAGTTCCGCAGTGATCACCATCAAGTCCTGTTAAAGATCAGCTTTACCAAACTTGCCCAGATATTCCAGAAACCTACCCTGATATTATCTAGGATGGGTGCGACCATAGGCTCGATGGTATCGTTCCTACACTCTCTACAGAGCTTAGAGAACAAATAGAAGCAGCGCCGCCGCACACCTTCATCAGAGTTGTGGACACCTCTTGCGTCTAGGATCGCTTCGAATAAAGAAGGCAAGACATCCGCCTTTGGCTTCCAAAATTCTACGTATCGCACAATTATCTCAAAGTACTGCAGCGTCACACTGGGGTGGGGGTAGGATGATATGCCCGAGCCCATGGACCTGGTGAGGAGCTGTCCAAGCGCGGAGAGGGGGTAATTCTCATATTCAAATTTGTCTGAAGGATCGGCGGCGTCGGATGCAGATGAAGGGGTGGTGCGTCCACTGGCTTGAGAGTCGGCCTTGATTCGGAACTTGTTACGCGCGGCTTTGGTGGCAACTTCCGGGGGCAAGTCGAAAAAGGCCGCTCGGGTGGCATCTGAGACATATTAATAAGACAACCGAGTATAGCTCCGATGAACTCACTTTTCGAGACTTCTCCAAAGGTGTAAACCAGATGCAACGCCAACTCGGCTTGTTGCCAAGCAACGACACCTGCTCCCCCCGTCGTATAAGCATCGAGAGTCGAAGCCACAATTCTCGCCACAACCTCCGTGTGCAGGCTCTTGTCTATCTGAGCAATGGATTCAATAAATGACCGACAAGACTGCAAAGTATCCGTAATCAGTTGATGCCTTGTTAATAGATGCAGGATCATCACTTACCCCTCGGAAATGTTTGAATGCAGCCACTTCTTCATCTGTATCGTCCTCGTTACCCGGAGCCTCCCACTCCATATCCTCCGGCCATGCAAGCTGTCTGATCAATATATCCAACATGGCCGCCAAGAATTGTCGACGCTCTGGTGATAGTTCGGGTACTGGAAGAGGAGGAGAGGGGGGCTGGCCGGGTTTTGTTGCAGGAGCAGCAGGCCTGAACATTCTTTTGTACTGCGCGAAAGGGTCGGCACATTGGACGACGTGTTTATGGATGTTTACTCACGATCCTGAGAAGATCTGACACGAACGGAGAGACCGAAAGTGGTATTTCATATTGCCGGTCACTGAGGAATCGCAATAACAATGGCAAGGCGTCGCCCATAAGACTTTCCGCTTCATTGCGCAATTGCTCTGGGTATTCATTCTAACCAAAATCAGCAAGAGTGGTACGCAAAATGTTCACCAGCCACTTACATTGTCAAACAGTGCCACCAGCGAGACGCCGTAGGCTGACAGGACTGCTCCCAGACTTGCACGGAATGCTATGACATCCTCGTCTTGGTTGTTGGCTGTTTCAGATTCGAGAGAGTCGATCAGGCTGACTGGATCGAGAACTCGGAGAACTTGCAACCTTCCTTGAGGATCTTGGATGCCTTTCGCAACAAGGGTACGGTAGATTGAGGCCGCAGAGGTTCTGAAAGAAAAGATTGGTTGGCGGAGAATTCGGTGGTAGAAACTCAAAGTGGTGGGATTCAAAGACACGCCAAGATCAATCCAAGCTGCGAGAAATGTTAGCCATAAAACGCAAAGCAGGCAAGCGACATACGGATCCAAGCGCTGAGCGCTTTCAAGGTCGAGTCAACAGTCTCGCCCCACTTGTCAATGCTTTCTCCCTTGTGTATCCTCTCCAGTCCAGTGTCCACCAATCTCAACATCCCTTCAACAGCCACCTTGTCGTCCCCGCTAGACCTAATCATATCCCTGATAACCCCATCCCGCTCTTGCCTCTCTTTCGTCATCACTCGAGCCTCCTTGAGCGTGATGTCGTGTATTTCTTGAGCTACTTCTAAGAGGATGCGGATGGTGAGAAGTTGGGGATGAAAGTTGGGCGGGGATGATGTTGGGGGGGCGAGCAGGGCGTAGAACGGATGGAGATAGGAAGGTATGTGAGGGTAGGCATGTAAGAACAGCTGTGCTATTGTGAAGGCAAGCTTGTTGCGTAGAACTGTAGAGCGCCGCATTAGTACGATAGACTGTATAACTAGTACTGCAATACCCACAGGCTTGTCCACCTTCACATGGTCCCTCGATGTATTCCAGTCCGACAAACTCGACCACTGCTTGGTACATTGCTCTCATGGACTCCGCATTGAGGACATTAGGTCTGACATCGTTCAATCAGTTGACAGTCCAATTTCGATACGCTTCTGGGCAGATGACCAAAACAACACCCACTTTTGTGTGAGAGCAGTGTCAACTACTTGCTGACAGAATATTCGCATGTTGGTCTCTTGCTTTTCCTTGCCGTCTCTGCCCAGGGACGACGGCCGTTCAGCCCCGGCACCTTGCAGATAGAGCTGCAAACAGTCCTGGAAGCAGGGGTCAGTGTGCATCGAGGGTAACCGCAAGGTTGCGCACCTGCCATGTCTCTTCTGACAAGTGCTTGACTTTTGTGAGGTAGTCGATGGCCTGCTGTTTCAGGTCTGGGTCTACCGAGTTGTCGATGGACGCTGCGACGCGGACTGCCTGGGGGATACTTGTCAGGTGCGTTGAAGACATCCCGGAGGCTTTTGGGGGAGGGGGAGGCGAGTGGCGGGACAAGTATATCACTGTATTTTTCGACAATCCACGCACAAAGAACCTGCAAAGTCATGGCGGTCTTCGCCGCTGTCTGGACCACAGCTTTCCCACGGATTCATGTACTCGTACAGTACTCGTAGAGTACTCTAGAGCACGAGTAAAGTATACTCTCAGTTTCTAAGATTGCAACGTCCCATGCTTGCATACCAGATTCACTGCGGTGGGTTCTTTGAGGCATCACTTGTAATCTCTTATTTTGAGCTTCAGAACATATTCTATATCTCTCAGTACCTGTCAACTCCAGACGTCGAGGGTCTCTGGGGCATATGCGTGCCAATGAGGTAATGATTGAATTGATCACCGAACACAACAAACACGTTGAGCTTTGGTGTGTGGTGATCTTGGAGAGACACGCACATCTCGCAAGAGTCGCATATAGATACGCTAATCAGCGGCATTCTGCCTCTGTTTGAAACGAGTCGCTCGTGCAGCAATGAGGCCCAGGCGATCATACTAATGTGACAATGCATAGCCCATGTAGGGAATCAAAAGAAAATCGTCTAATCGCATGCAATCCTCGTTGAAAAACACTTGGATTTGCACTCCCGTCTACCCCGCGCCATTCGGCTGCCGCATCTACCTTCTGTACCATCGAACACTCTGCCTGTTACGCCTCATCTTGCGCATCAATTGAAGCATCCCGTAGAGAAGAGCCTCGGCGGTCGGGGGGCTGGACGCGTATGTAAGCATAAAAGGCCAATGAATTTAATGCACTTACCAGCCAGGTACGTAAATGTCAACGGGGACAACACGGTCACAACCTCGCACGACCGAGTAGGAGTAGTGATAGTAGCCACCACCGTTGGCACACGAGCCCATGGAAATGACCCATCGTGGTTCAGGCATCTGGTCGTAAACTATGTCGGTGTCAGGAGTGGTTCACCCGGGGTTGAACTATATCTACCTTTTCTGAGGGCAGGAGCCATCTTGTTGGTCAAGGTACCAGCGACAATCATGATATCACTCTGTCGAGGACTCGCTCTGAACACCACACCCAATCGATCTTGATCGTAACGAGCAGCGGCCATATGCCTGGTATTCAATCAGTATGCGGTCGCGAACAGTAAAAGCAGGAGGTTCCATCCTTTACTCACATCATTTCGACGGCACAACAAGCAAGACCGAACGTCATCGGCCACATGGAGCCTTGACGTCCCCAGTTGACGACCTTATCCAGAGTTGACAAGACATATTCTGTTGCTCGATTAGCTCGCCGCCCCTTCACTGTGCCAGTGATGTACGCTGCTATGCTAGAGCAGACCGTACAAGCGCCGATAGACGTCTACGCACCCGCTCCGTTTCTCGGTGTCTCAAGACTGAGCTGATTGCTGCCTTGCTGGGCGATGGTGGTTTCTGGAAGGGTGGTTGAAGGCGCATGGGAGTAGGTGTTGATGGAGGAGGTGGGGGTTGAGGGGCGGAGGGCGATGGCAGTGTTGGAGAGGGGGCGGGCTGAGGGGGTGATGTGAGCTGATGGGTAGCGCGGAGGACGGCGGGACGTACTGATTGCGAGGGCCGGCCTGAAGGCTGCGGGGGTGCGGAGGGCGGCTGGGAGGGTGAGCATGGGCTGGCTGGGGCTGGGCTAGGGGCTTACTGGCTCTGAAGGCGGGGAGCATGTTGGGCGTGGCGAGTGGTGAGCGAGAGAATAAACTTGTCGATGTTGGGGCGGCGGGGCGGCGGGGAGCGCCAGCCAATGAACGCGAGACGGATTGTCGAGACATGGCGGGGGCTCGGTTAATTTCTCTAAGAGTACCTAAGTAGTGGCGCACACCTCCACCCACAATTTCAGCGCCACATTCACTCACCGTCCTGCGGCTGACCACATCCCCCATGCTCCAGCGCGCAGCCCTCAGACGCCCACTCGGCACCCGCCGCCCCGCCCCCCGCCCCCTCCGTCTCCGTGCCCCACCCGCCTCCAGGCCCTTCTCGTGGACGCCATGGAGAAGCCCAGCAGTCCCCGCGCCCATACTCGACTCTAGCATTCCCGGGGCGCAGCCTCTGCCCCCATCGGCCATCCAAAGCGAGCTCTCGCAGGCGGCACCCATACCACCGGCCGATATCTCAGCCCTCGCACCGGCAGACACCGTGTCCCAAGTGCCCCAAACCCTCGAGAACCTCATTCTGCATTCTGGCAAGAGTCTGCCTGATGTCCTCAATTCGGAAGAAGCCGTGCATGCCTCTATGAAGGTCTCTGACCTCAGTCTCATGGGCTATGAACACGGCATTCTATCGCCCATGGGCTGGTTTACAGATGGTTTGGTCGCCTTACACACATCTGTTGGACTCCCATGGTGAGTCTTCGCTGTCGGCCGTCGGCGAGCATGCTGACCGATACGTAGGTGGGGTGCTATTGCTGTCACTACCGTCGCCATCCGACTCGCACTCTCTCCCCTCATCATCTCGAACCAAAAACACAGCACACGGCTTGCGGCTGTCAACCCTCAACTGCAAGAGCTCATGGCGGAAATCCAGTCAGCTAGCAAGAGCGGCGACACCCACATGCAGGCTCTTGTCAGCCAGCGTATGCAAGAACTCATGCGCACACACAAAGTGAACCCCTTCAAACCTCTACTCCTGCCCCTGTTCCAGGTCCCTATCTTCTTGACCTTCTTCAGCATCGTCCGGGGGTTGACAGCTCTTCCGATTCCTCAATTCAAGGAAGGAGGTTTTGGGTGGATTATGGATCTGACAGCGTCAGATCCCTACTACATTCTGCCTCTCACTTCGTTGGCCTTTACCAACTTGGTCTTTGTTGTGCGTATACCTGTCTCTTTGACTCACAGATCCATCTGCTGATGTGCGTGATAGCTCGGTGCCGATGGCGTATCTACGGCTGCCAAGAGCGGTGCTACTCCTGAGCGTACAGCGCATATCCGCAACTTTGTGCAAATGTCCACTGTGATCTCTTTCCCTTTCATCATGCACTTCCCTGCTGTGAGTATCCTTACACTATATTTGTGTGGTGCTGACCCTTTTTCAGGCTCTTCTTTGCTACTGGACATTCTCCACTGGCTTCACTCTTCTCCAATCCCTTGCCCTTCGACAAAATATTATCCGAAAAATGCTAGGCCTCCCTATAACTCCTGCCCAGGTTGCCGAGCCAGGAGCCGCCTCAATCAAGGACCCTTCTTATCTCGACACTCTCAAGGCTATCAAAAACTTTGCAACAGAGAAGATGGATGCTGCTCGAGAGCAAGCACTTGAACAGGAAGAGGAGAAGAGGTTGGCCCAGAGAAGGGCTGTCAACAAGAGGCCTCAGACAGACTTTGTGGAGAAGATTCAGGAGACCACTGCTGAGAAAGAGATGCCTGTGTCCCGCAAAAAGGTTGACAGCAGGGAGGCTGAGAAGCAGAGGAGGATAGAAGAGGCAAGGAAGAGAAGATCTAGGGCTTGATGTGGTGCTCAGTCTACCTTCTAGATTGCTGGTTTAGGCAAAGAAGTGATTGGCAGTTTGGCCACTAACCCATTATTTGTCTTTAACAACCACTCTATTCCATACCTATCAGCATGAAATCATCCAGCCGCCAAAAATAGAGACTTGGAGATGATATGTTCATGTCTTGATTTTCATAGATAGCATTGGGCATCTATACCCATGGTGCCTTGTTATTATTGTAGCTGCTGTCATAGACACCTGATCTAGCAATTGAAATGACTTGCCCCTTTGTACAAGACTAGTCTGCCTTTTGCATGTCTGAGCAACTTGCTTCATGACTGTTACAACCAATTAAATTTAGACTTCGCACCTAACTTACTTGCAAGGGGTCAAGGTGGGCTTGACCCAACACTTGTCAACAATGGGTATATGTGTGATGGGGAAGATCTAACAAGCAAGGAAGTATTATGGGAGCTCAAGAGGGAATGGACAAAGGCGTGATTGGGCTCGAGTGTCTGTTATAGGTACTCAGAAAACATAGTTCTTCAAGGAAAAGAGTAAGATTGAGGATTGAATCCTCTCTCTATATACCTGTCAAGTTAATTGGGGTAGGGACAGGGTCAGGACTGTACATTAGGGAAGTGCCTATTGGATGTGTCAAGTTGAGGACTAGTTGCAATCTATAAGTCAAGGACAATTGTTGTTGTAGTCAATGGTTGGAGGAGTGACAGTAACCCAAGGGTATATATAGAGAGCTGCTGGACAGTAAAGATAGTTTCCTATGTCATTTATCCTTGTTTTCCTCCTCCATTCTCTTACTCCTCATTGTCGACTCTCTTACTCCTATCTACAAAGGCAACTCTACAGGCAACAGACGCAACCGAGACAAATACAGTGGTTCAGTCTATCTGTGCTCCCAACTCCTCTAGTTGAGCCAATACCTCCCCATATCCCACATCAAGCCTGTCTTGGCCTGTTTTGGCCTGTCTAGCCTTGTCTAGCCTTGCCTTGCCTTGCCTTGTATTTCCTTGTTTTGCCCATATTTGTCTGTTATTGACTGTGGGTTGTGAGCCAACCATGCTTATACCATGTACTGTAATTTAAGTTAGGTCACAACAATGACAGTGATGTCATGAGCCACAAAGGTCCACATCAAGTGTAACAAACCCTCACTCAACTACTGTCAGCCATTTCCCTGGTGTTGACAACCACTAAATTTTGAGCCCCGGCATCCCCGGCACCTGTCATACTTCAACCACTGTCCATCTCACCTCCCCTTGCTGACGCCTCACTGTAAGAGGCTTGCCTCATACCCTTCCTGAACATACAACCCGTCGACCCTTTTGGCTGCGATTCTTCTGTCTTGACTGTTGGACTGCATACAAGTAAGCATTGGTGGAGGGCAGCCTGTTGCGTTTGAGTGCCTTGACCCAGCAAATGAGAAGCGCTCCTGCTATGCATGCATGCAGGAGGTGGCCTGATAAAGCTGTGGGATGAAGGGCGGAAAGAAACTTACTGTAAACAAACTAGCGTTCATCGCGCGGCGTTCCCGCACCCACTTATCGGATTATCCGTCCATAAATCAGTGAAAAATTGAGTGCTGGAATTCATGAAAGTTGGTATTAGTTCAATTTGTTCAGAGGAGGGTAAGAATTACGTCTGTATGCATTGAAGATGGTCACTGGTGTGGATCCAAAACTCAGCAAAATATTGTGTATGAAAAATAGGTACAGTCAGGTTGGAAATGCATGCACAAGATGTACGAGTACGTATGCATGCTGTCTAAAAAGTTTCACTCCTTCTGCTTCCCGTTGCCCCTTGTAAGCCTCGTGGGGGTGGACGGACCAGCTTCATTTGAAGCGTCAGCGGCCGCCAAAAGGTCATCCCCGTCGTTGGGATTGAACGAAGAAACCGTGGCACCTTGGGGCGTGTCCAGCTTCTGTCGCTTCGCCGCCCTCTTCTCCGTTGAGGATGGGGGGTCCCCTGGGGAGCCGCGCGCGCGTTGAATACCATATTGAAGGGCTCGAGGACAAACACCCCGTCTTCACGCTGTCGACGACCTTACCGCGAGATCCAGCTCCTGGCCATTCCTAGGGAGCGGGGTCTTCTGCCATCGAGCATAACCGGAACGCCCACCGGAAGGGGAGGGTGAGGTCGCGCTTCTATGATACGGTCAGACCAATGGCCAGTGTTCGAGGGGGCAGACGAAGCACGTTGGGAGGCCAAAATATCGCACCAAGGCCATGCTAGCCAGTCACCCCTTGTGTGATGATATTGCGTTTATCAACTGAGCCTTGGCCTGCAGGGATGATGACGCCAATCTCAGATGCCCTAGGTCGATTGTACCGACGAACGTCCCTCACAATGGGTTCCACCGCTTTGATAAGAAAGCTGGGAGTCGTGTCGCATTCTGCCAGGCAAGCACGGGTACCCAGGAAAGCCTGTACCCAAAGGTTCTCCCTGTCCAACATACGAGATAGGGTGGAGACGGTGTTGATATTGAGGGAGTAATCACCTCCCGTCTGAGATTCTTCGTTGGCAAATCTTGTCGGCCTCTGAATTGTCAGACAGGTAGATCTGAAGGAAAACAGGGGAAGTGTTATCACCAGGGGGAAGGAGAGAGCCAGCGAGGTGACACAGTTGGCCTTGGGTTTTGAACAGAGGAACTTGCTTGGCATCAGCGTATGGTACTTCAGATTGACGACCCACTGACCAAGTAGTACACCTGTACACAAGCTTTGTCCTATCCCCCTCCCCCAAGTCCCAAAGAATTCCTCTCAGCGCCCAGATGAACACGTCACCTTTCCCAACATCCCAAGTACCATGTCCGACACCTCCACCTGGATTATTGACTTCTTCAATGGCCTTCCCAGATAAAGGGTCTCTCTTCACACCAAGAGAAGTCATGGCGAAGGCGTTATTGTAGGCAACAATATGGAGGCGGAAATCTCTAGCAACTGCAGTGAGGTGAGCAATGAGAGTAACGATGAGTCAGGGTATCACAGACTGGGAGAGTCATCTAACAAAAGAGCACGAAGCTCCGGAGGTGGGTCCTTGAAACCACAGCATTGCGAAAAGGCGTGGAAGAATGCCCTTGAGAGTGAACAGGGTGTGTGTCAAGAAAAATTATATTTCATATGGCAGGAAGAGAGAAGGGTGCTACGTTTACAACAACTTTCCTTGGTTGTTCCTTGGCCTTTGGGCAAAAGGGTGGAGGGCGGAGGCAAGTGGAGGCGGAAGACGCCGACGACGCGTCTCAGAAGGAGGATCAGGCGCCAGCAGGAGGCGCTTGAAGTGAAACGGTCCGCGGGAAACGGAGCGAGGACGAAGCATGGGGAGTTATAGGTACAGGTAGGTGGGGATCATTGTAAACTTCCGAATGCAACCAATAATGGACAGAAATGATCGACGAAAAAGAGAGAACGATGGAATGAAAGATTCGAGGACGCGTGAGGAGCGATAACAGCGGTTGGAGGTAAACGGACGGTAGAGAGAGCTAGAATGTGTCGTACGTGGAACACAAAGTACCGTTAGGTGGGGATGAGTGGCAGCTGTTGAATAGTGCCCACAGCGGGTGAGATGGATCGACGAAAAACTGAGTAAACCGGTGAGCGGTAAAGTGAGATAGATGAAATTGACGGTAAACGGTCTGCGGGAAAACGAACGGGGAGGATGCATGCAGAATTAAGGGTACCGTTCTGTAGGGCAGCTTACAACAATTCTAATGCAATTTTGAATGAGGCTGATTGATTGACGGATAATCGAGAACGATGGCTTTGAAAATAAAGGAGGTCGAAAAATCAGATCGTGGCTTAAACTAAATAGATGAGAAGCGCCTCCGCTTGTGTTTACGTAATGTGTAATGCCACATCATTTCAGAGTTTCGCGGAGCTTGCCGCACGCGCAGACGGGGACTTGGTGGAACATCGACGTGGCTTCTCTTTCTTTGCCCGTCACTGTTCCCCGTCTTTTGCCCTATTGCTGTAAAGCCTAGGTGCCTGTGTGTGCGTGTGAGTTCCCTTCTTTATTGTGTATTAGAGTGCATAGCTAAATCCTGGGCAGTCGTGAATAGTTAGGACTGACTTCTGCCCAGGTACGTATATATCCCGTCGTCGTTCCCGGTCTCTTGCCCTATTGCTGTAAAGCCTAGGTGCCTGTGTGTGTGTTCGTGAATAGTTAGGACTGACTTCTGCCCAGAGTCACCGCCCTCTTGTCTGTGTGACAGTTGTATGTATTTGGGGTCCTGTTTTACTTCAGGTTGCACCGCCCCCGCTTGACCCCTCGCTGTTCTCTGCTGTTCTTCGCCGTTCCTCGCCGTTCTTCCGTCCTGCTAGCTCATAGCTGAGACTACCACCGTTCTCCCCCCCGTCGCCGCCACCAGTGAAGAGGAACACCACCTCTTACAGTTTGCCGCACAGGAACACACCGCCCCAGCCAAATCTCTCGCCGTTCTTCTCGTCTCTTGCCATTCTTTCGCCGTTCTTTGTCCAGCCCGTCTAGCTGTGACTCTCGCCGTTCACAACACTAGTGTAGAGGAATACAACACATACACTGTTTTTCAAACTTCACACCCCAATCACGATGTCCCCTACCACACCCGACGAACCTGCGCTTGGCGCATCCAAACCCAAAATCATCTCTGTCTTCTATGACGAGGATGACAACCCCCTCGACGCTACGGCAGCTACTGGTCGCCCTGTCCTTTGTCTTGACAAAGCAGGCAAGATCATCCTTGGCCCTGTTCCTTCTACCATCGACATCACTGTTCCTATCCAGTCAGACGACAAAGGCACCTCCTACCCCGGCCACCAGCTCCCTCCTCATATGCTCTCTGGCCCCACCCCACGAGCGCCAGCCTCGGAGAGTCAGACGTCTAGCCAGGATAGTCTTCGGCTCAGTGACCTCCAGGTCATTATCGAGTCAATGCAGTGTCACCAGACGGAACTCTAGCGAGCCCAGGTTGATCCCCCCAAGCTCCCCTCGTTGTCATCCCTCTGCACATCCAACCTTGGCGTGGTACGTCATCTCCATGACCTCCAAAAGTACTTCGTCGAATACAACTCTCGTTTCTCCGACAGCACCCCGTCTACTCCTCAGTGGCGAGTTGGTCAAGCGAAGTCTATGGCCAAGGTCGACGCCTATCATTACTGGTCTATGGTGACTGGCGCTGCTTGTGTTTCGTGGGAGAGTTGGCAAGACGAATTCAGGAAGAAGGCCCTTTCGCCCAACTGGGAGTCTGAAACCCGGCGAGTGTTTGAAGGCTTGCAGTGTCAGGGATCCACTTTGGCGGCGTGGACGGCGTTCGAGGAGAAGGCAGGCGAATGGCAGGCGAATGCCAGATGGTCCTTAGTGATTGTCTCGGCGCCATCACGGAATCGGACATGCACCAAAAACTCTTGTTTGGTCTCCCCTCGCATATCCTTACCCGTGTCGAGGATCGCCTTGAAGACCGAGGCCTTGGTCGTTCCGTTATCTCCCTTCCCCTTCTGTGTTCTATTATTGATCGCATGTTCCGCACTGAGCACCCCACTCCTCCTCCCGCCGCCTATTCATCTACGACTCGGCAGTTTCGTCCCGCCCCCGCTGCAACACCTCGTCCCTCAGCGTCGTCAGCTGTTCCTACCACCTTGTCCAACGCTCCCACCCATCTCAATGGCCGTCCCTTGACGCCCAAGGAGCAAGGTTGGATTACCAACAGGAAACTTCCTGCCAAATCTACCGACGCCGGTGACCGAGCCCGAGACTTCCTCGATAAGAACAAACTTTGCTATTTCTGCCGCAAGGCAGGGCAAATGAGTGGCCAGTGCCCTCGTCGTCTAGAGGAGGCTGTTGTGGCCCACGTCAACATCGACAACATCGACGAGGAAGGCGATATGTTCTATGCTGCGGTCGAGAATGATATCGACGCCGCTGTAAGAGGTGGTGTTCCTCTTCACTGGCGGCGGCGACGGGGGGAGAACGGCGGTAGTCTTAGCTATGAGCTAGCAGGACGGAAGAACGGCGAGGAACAGCGAAGAACAGCAGAGAACAGCGAGGGCTCAAGCGGGGGCGGTGCAACCTGAAGTAAAACAGGACCCCAAATACATATAACTGTCACACAGACAAGAGGGCGGTGACTCTGGGCAGAAATCAGTCCTAACTATTCACGAACACACACACAGGCACCTAGGCTTTACAGCAATAGGGCAAGAGACGGGGAACGACGATGGGCAAAGAAAGAGAAGCCACGTCGATGTTCCACCAAGTCCCCGTCTGCGCATGCAGCGAGCTCTGCGAAACTCCAAAATGATGTGGCAATACACATTAGCACGTTTCAAATATAGCCGCTTACCTTATCTTATTTTCGGCGATTTCTTATTTTAAGCCGAGCCGCGTCTCATTTTCCCCATTTTGTATGGGAAAATAAGTAAGAGAATAGGTCTTTCTTATCTTATTTCTTATTCTTATTTTGCTCACTTGTACAAAGTCATTTAAATCGATGGAAAAATATTCGTTTTCCGCGTCATGCTATGGCCAGCTCACCTGAT